TTGGGCAGATTTTTTTAATGTTCAAATTCCGTCTTATAAGCTGAGATATACGGTATGCGGATTTCACTTAACACGGTACCCTGTGGGTTCAATTGACCGCGTAAATCGGGGTACTACTGTAGTAGTTTTGCTGAAACGTGATGTATTTTAATGTAAAATAGGATAAAATACATGACGAAAACAAAAGATTTTACCAAACCTTCCGATGTTCAAGAGAAGTTACTCGTGTTTTCTAATAGTTTTTGGTTAAAATACTGTTATATTACAATGGTATTCTGTTCATACTGTGCTTGATATAATGCATTCACGGAAATGTAATATTTTTGCTGAAATTACGTACGTATTACAGTGGAAAGTGGGATAAAATCGTGACGAAAACAATTACTTTCACTTTCTTTCGTTCAAAAGATGTTACCGTAATCGCTTTTCGGTTGGTTTTCAGTTAAAAAACTGTTGTATTCCAATAATATTCTATCCTAATTGACTTGAATAAATACTACGATACCATATTTCTGAATATTTTAATTAAAATCCATCCAAATCATTTTCCTTGTCATCGTCTGCAGCACCAAACAGCTTCTCCCAGTCCTCTCCTTGAACAGGGGTAGAGGGTACGTGTTTTTCGAATCGTTTTCAGTTAAAAAACTGTTACATCACACGTATATTTTACCTAAACTGCGCCTGAATGAATATATTCTCGGAAATAAATAGTAGTTTTGCTGAAATGTGATGTATTTTAATGTAAAATAGGATAAAATACATGACGAAAACAAAAGATTTTACCTAACCTTCCGATGTTCAAGAGAAGTTACTCGTTTTTTTAATAGTTTTCGGTTAAAATACTGTTACACTATATTACAATGATATTCTATTCATACTGTGCTTGATAAAATACATTCACGGAAATGTAATATTTTTGCTGAAATTACGTACGTATTACAGTGGAAAGTGGGATAAAATTGTGACGAAAACAATGACTTTGAAATATAATGCAATATTAACCCCTAAATCGGTTAATTCGGACAATCGGCTGAAACGGACACCCTTCCCCTATTAGTCCCACTAACGAGGGCCTACCGTATGTGGCAATGGGTAAACCGGATCAGGAACAGAGGCTTCCTCAAGGGTGGGGAAAATCCACTGCTAGTGTGTGCCTGTCATTTCTCAAGGCATGAGTCTGCATTGCATCAAATCACTGCTGACTTCCAAATTCAAAAGCATCTCTGTTGCTCCTCTGCCCTCAGCATCGGATGAACAGGGTACTCGGCGAAACTTGTGGGGTCTTTCCCCTATAAGTAATTGTCAGTTGAGCAAATCAGTGGTTAACTTGAAGTCGGTCATCGGGTTTTATCCTATTCACAGTAGTGGCATACGCATCTAAATCTCATCCCAAAAGGAACTTTGCCAACAACTTAACCCCTTTACTTCATGGAAACCTACCGTATATCTCGGCCTATAAGGCGTCGGGGTGCATAAGACGGCCCCCCCCAAATTTCCATTTAAAAAGTAGTTTTGAGCTCTATTCGCTGTATAAGACCAGTACCCCAAATGTGACACTTACCCACTGACTCAGTAGTCCTCTACCAACCATCCTTGGTTTTTTAAAATAAGGCCAATTCACTTCAAGTAATGTCATCAAATGTTACCCGCTGGTGTAGTGTAAACACTAGTGACATCACTGAAGCGTCTGCTATTTACCGGTAACTGGAACTAATGTCGGTGTCAAGTAAAATTTTTCCATTTACTTGAAATGGATTTACCGATTTATTTGTTTATTTATTTATTTATAATATACTGTAACATATTAAACACACTGCAAGTATTTTCTTTAATTTATATGCTTGCTTCACACGAGACGATCGGTGATGGGAGTGTTACCTCGTCTCGGTGGTGGGACTGTGTTCCCACTGTTTACCGTACTTTTTTTTTTAGTAAGTTCTTTTTTGTTATATTTTTTACTAAAAGTGTTATTTTATGTGGATAAAAATGTTACAATGGACTTAAAACTATAAAAAATCATCTAAGCATGCTTGAAAACATACATATCGACACCAAGATCACCCAGATTGACCAACTACATCAATTTCTATAAGAAAAATCAACTTTTGAAGGTCAATATGGCGGTCACCTTGAAAAATGGTCGCCATCTTGAATTTTTAAATGGCCAATCAGGCAGACTTGACTAGTAACCATTAGAGAATTACCATGCCAAATTTGGTGCTTGTACCACCATTTTCATGATTCTCTTGAAAAATTGCATTTAGCTGCCCCACTAATGTCACCACTCCCATCTCAACATGACACTCGTATACTGAAATATTGTATTTCATACTACATATGACTTTACAAAAAGAAATGTCCACGTCTGGTTAAATAACTCTTGTAGATATAATACCAGTTGAATAAACTAAACTAAAAAACTGGAGATTGTAATTACAGTGAAGCCTTGACAACTCCATTATGAAGTTAGGGATTAGATGACGCCAAATACAATCACCTTAATGCACTTTAAGAGAGAGGAGTCACCGTGCCAGGGCTTAATATTATCCTGGACCCTAGAGGTTGATGACGTATTCAGTGTCGGGCAGAAATACATCGATGTACACAGCACATGATCCCAATCAACTCCAGTATAGGTGTTAATAATGTAGAGGTGACCAGGTGTGTTGCACGTTGGTAGTGTTGGATGGTGATGCAGGAAAGAGGTAGTGTGTTGAGGGTGGTGTGTGGTTATGACTCACTCCCACAACCCCCCCCACACCACTCACACATCCTCACAACTGTACCACAAAGCCCCCACACTACTCATACAGCATCCTCACAACACTACCACAACCCCCCCACACCACTCACACATCCTCACAACTGTACCACAAAGCCCCCACACTACTCATACAGCAGCCTCACAACACTACCACAACCCCCCCACACCACTCACACATCCTCACAACTGTACCACAAAGCCCCCACACTACTCATACAGCATCCTCACAACACTACCACAACCCCCCCACACCACTCACACATCCTCACAACACTACCACAACCCCCCCACACCACTCACACATCCTCACAACTGTACCACAAAGCCCCCACACTACTCATACCGCATCCTCCTAACACTACCACTGCACAACCCCCACACCACTCACACATCCTCACAACTGAACCACAAAGCCCCCACACTACCACATACCGCATCCCTCCTAACACTACCACTGCACAACCCTCCACACCCCACTCACACATCCTCACAACTGAACCACAAAGTCCCCACACTACCTCATACCGCATCCCTCCTAACACTACCACTGCACAACCCCCACACCACTCACACATCCCTCACAACTGAACCACAAAGCCCCCACTACTCACATATACTCTGATCCTCCTAACACTACCACTGCAATGCAACCCCCACACCACCTCTACAAATCCTCACACTACCACAACCCCCACACCACTCACACATCCTCACAACTGAACCACAAAGCCCCCACACTACTCATACAGCATCCTCATAACACTACCACAACCCCCCCTACACCACTCACACATCCTCACACTACCACAACCTCCCACACCACTTACACATCCTCACAACTGTACCACAAAGCCCCCACACTACTCTTACAGCATCCTCACAACACTACCACAACCCCCCACACCACATACACATCCTCACAACACTACCACAACCCCCCACACCACTCACACATCCTCACAACACTACCATAATAAAATTAATTATTTCTAGTGTGGTCGACTTCCTACACAAAGACAGGCTATAAATAGCTGTCTTATCTCAACCTCCTTCCTTCCCCCTACATCCCTCTGTTCTCAGAGAGGTCTTGGTAAATAACTTTTGTTTGTTTATTTTCATTGTTTGTCTAATTTATCATGTTGTATCAAAGTAATATTACTAAAAGTTTTAGGCAGCTACCAAATGGGGAGATTCTACTGCCTGGGAAGATATTGGAAGCACAATGTACAGTATTGTCTAATGGTAGACCCTACTTCCATATGGCATCACGAAAATTGTGACCAAGTCTTAGGTTGCTGATTTATCTTTTTGCCTCATTTACACACAATTGCAGAGTTTCAATTGTTTCTCTTCCTTTGACAACACAACATACATACAATATAATGTTTCTCACCTTTGATCTTTTTTCCATTTATTTATTGTTGGTTATTTAAAATAATGCCAATTCACTTCAAGTATTGGCATCAAATTATACCGGCTGGTGTACACTAGTGACTCACTTAAGCGGCAGTTATTTAATTGGAACTAATGTTGGTGTGAGTAAAATATTTCCATTTACTTAAAATAGATTTGCCGATTTATTTGTTTATTTATTTATTTATAATATACTGTAATACATTAAACACACTGCAAGTATTTTCTTTAATTTATATACTTGTATCGCGAAAAAGGGAGGCTAGCATTATAACTGGTAGGTGATCATTAAGGACCAAACTCCGAATCCATGACTCCATGAAGTGACTTCTGTTCATCATTTATATCCTAAATTTACCACTGTCGGTAGTTTCAAGAATTAACGCAGTCATTTACTGAATATTCTTTGTAAAAAAATTAATTTTAAATTAATTATTTATAGGAGATAAGTATTATGATCAGTAAATATACAGATATGCATTACTGACCACCTCCGAACACAAGGACGGCTAAAAATAGCTACAGGCGGTCACAGTCAAGGTCACTTTCCCTGGTAGGACTTTGTGAGTGGTTTACCATGTTTCCATCACCACTCTTGACACGCAATATTTAAGAGGTAAGAATTTTATACTTGGTGATTAAGACGACCCCCTAACTTTGGGCAGATTTTTTTAATGTTCAAATTCCGTCTTATAAGCCGAGATATACGGTATTCATTTATGTAAGCCTTTTCTAGGAATACAGTTTCCGGCAAAAACAAGACCAATCTGTATATGAAAACAACTTTCCAATTTTATTAGCAAGGGAATAATAATTAACATCATGTGGATATTTTGTTTATTATGTCAACATACAATATAAACAAAATTACAGGAGCAAGCAAAAATTATGAAAAATGTATTACATGGAATGGCATGGAATTGTTACCTTCATTGTTAACGTCATATGCCATTTTGATCATCCGTGGGCCCATTTGAATAAAAAGGGTGGGCCTGGTCAAATTATATTGGCAAGTAGGTATTTATCTTTCATTCACTCACACATGTGATTCTATCAATAACTTCTCAGTTTTTGTGATGTAGGAATTTCGTCCTTGGACACGATTCACTGTGTTTCTACCCCCAACCTCAAGTCTAGCACTATGATGAATTACTGGAGCAGTAATATTTTGCCTGTTAATAGTGTAAATGGTAATAACATAGTAAAACAAGTTTCATGTACCTCATACTTAGTGTTGTTTACCTAGTTACTACTGCATCACACACCTGCCACTTCACAAACATTCTCGATTCTTAATAGCCCCGTGCCAACTTGTGGTAAGGATACGTATTTATTTCCTGTTTATATCATGCATGGCCAGTTTGTTGAACTAGAATTGTTTTTTAATTTGCTTTTTAAATGTTCCTGAGTATACCCAAGTGGGGGGAGGGTGGGGGGATATGCTGACTATAGCCCAAAGCCCAGAGTTAAATTATTGCATTCCCACCCCCCCCCCTTTAATTTTTTTTTCATTTTGTTGCTGTAAAATTAAATGGTAGTGCAGTGAACTGGTGAGTGACAAATCATAAATCATTTGTACTGTACTACTGTACATTTGAATATGGAAATAAATACTGGAAAAAAAGTGCAGTACACATCTTTTAAAAGATTTTTTGCTTTACTCTGAAATCCATTTAACAATATTTGTTTTCAAATATTATACCAAAATTCTGGTAATAGGGCTATCCACCTTAGGTATATGAAACCATTCTGAGGCACCAGAAAAAGAACATTATTCACCTTGAAGCATGTCACACCAGGACAATTTATCAGTGAAATAAGGAACTCAGAGTGACAGTGATACATGATAGAAATTTGAGCTAGCCAGTACTGAAATTTGGGCTAGACATTATTGGCAATGAACATCCCATGATGGTTATGTCTACTAGGATGCCACTTAGAGAAAAATTTTACTTGGCAATGAGAAAGTTATTGCACAAATTACTTGCTCATTTATATTATACAGTACAGGAACAGAAAAAAAATTTGTTTTGTTTTTTACAGAGATTAGCTCACCCAGACACAGGTCACTGGCCCACATGGTGAGATCTGTCTTGTACAAATCAATCTGTTTCTGGTCACTGGAGAATCTTGAAGAAATATTCAACCTGAAAAAAAATAAAATGTTCATACAGTTATTTACCCCATCTACAAAATCCCAATACCTGCAATTATATAAATATATAGTTACCAAGATTAAAACAATATATATTAATCATATACCTGTAACAGTATAAACATAAACAAGTGCAACCCATCTGGAGAAATGAGGTGGAGACCTCTGATGGCTGTGGCCAGCAATATGGAGTCTCATTATAATACTTACACATATAAGTATATGGTGCTCTTTCTTCCCACCCAATATGGGAGAAGGAGAGGATTGATAGACAGCTCTGACAAACTAAGAGTATTTATTGAAAAAAAAAAAAAAAATTATTAATAATTTATCAGTGAATAATACAGGTTTACTTGCCTGGCTAATACAGCAGTGGATGGATAATACCATCACCAAGCACCTTCCAATACTTCCATCAACCAATTGGGCGGAGTTCAAGGGCAGCTCAGACAGCCAGTTTCCACCATCCCATCCTTCCCCCAGACACTCCCCAAACCCTCTTCCCTTGCCCTCTTCCAACCCCTCCAGGTTGCTTGGGTGGAGGTGGGACGAGGGGCTCAAAGCTCCTACCTTCGTTCTCTCTCCTTTCTTCCACCTACTGTATATCTCGGCTTATAAGACGGAATTTGAACCATAAAAAAATCAGCCCAAAGTTAGGGGGTCGTCTTAAGCACCAGATATAAAATTCTTACCTCTTAAATATAGCGGTTTAGCGTGTCAAGAGTGGTGATGGGAACATGGTAAACCACTCACAAGGTCCTACCACTAATTATTTTATACTGAAACTTACGTTTGGGACGCTGGATTAAAATGAAGATTACTGGTATACTAAAATAATAAAAATGTATTATAAACCTGTCTAACATACCGTAAAAGAACAATATACCCCGGTAATAAACACAGCTGCTATCATCACCCCCAATGCCAGTGACAAGAAAGGGAAAGTGACCTTGACTGTGACCGCCTATAGCTATTTTTAGCTGTCCTTGTGTTCGGAGGTGGTCAGTAATGCATATCTGTATATTTACTGATCATAATACTTATCTCCTATAAATAATTCATTTAAAATTTATTTTTTTACAAAGAATATTCAGTAAATTGCGTTAATTCTTTAAACTACCGACAGTGGTAAATTTAGGATATAAATTATGAACAGAAGTCACGTCATGGATTCGGAGTTTGGTCCTTAATGATCACCATAAATGTCTGGTCAACTTCACCTACCAGGTATAATGGTAGCCTCCCTTTTTTGCAAAACAAGTATATAATTAAAGAAAATACTTGCAGTGTGTTTAATATATTACAGTATATTATAAATAAATAAATAAATAAATAAATAAATAAACAAATAAATCGGCAAATCTATATCAAGTAAATGGAAATATTTTACTCACACCGACATTAGTTCCAGTTTAATAACTGATGCTTAAGTGAGTCACTAGTGTACACCAGCCGGTAAAATTTGATGCCAATACTTTAAGTGAATTGGCCTTATTTTAAATAACCAACCATGAATAAATGCAAAAAGGAAAAAAGATCAAAGGTGAGAAACATTATATTGTATGGATGTTGTGTTGTCAAAGGACGAGAAACAATTGAAACTCTGCAATTGTGTGTAAATGAGGCAGAAAGATAGATCAGCAACCTAAGACTTGGTCACAATTTTTCTGATGCCATATGGAAGTAGGATCTACCATTAGACAATACTGTACATTATGCTTCCAATATCTTCCCAGGCGGTAGTATCTCCCTGTTTGGTAGCTGCCTAAAATTTTAAGTAATATTACTTTGATACAACATGATAAATTACACAAACAATGAAAATAAACAAAGAAAAGTTATTTACCAAGACCTTCTCTCTGAGAACAGAGGGATGGAGGGGAGATAAGACGGCTATTTATAGCCGTCTTTGTGTAAGAAGTCTTGTGTAGGAAGTCGACCACACTATAAATAATTCATTTAAAATTTATATTTTTTACATAGAATATTCAGTACATGACTGCGATTTTAAAATATTGTATATATATATATATATATATATATATATATATATATATATATATATATATATATATATATATATATATATATATATATATATATATATATATATATATATATATATATATATATATATTTGTGTAGTAAATGTATGTAGTAAGTATGTACAGTAATCTTTTTCACTTAAATCCTAATGAAACACTATTGAATTAAAATACTGTAGCTGGTGTAAACAGTCGGAACAGTCCCACCACCGATTGTCTCTCGTGAAGCAAGCTTATAAATTAAAGAAAATACTTGCAGTGTGTTTAATATATTACAGTATGTTATAAATAAATAAATAAACAAATAAATCGGTAAATCCATTTCAAGTAAATGAAACAATTGTATTCGACACCGACATTAGTTCCAGTTAAATAACAGACGTTTAAGTGAGTCACTAGTGTTTACACTACACCAACTTGTAACATTTGATGCCATTACTTGAAGTGAATTGGCCTTATTTTAAAAAACCAAGGATGTGTAAACAGCACTGGTCAATGAGATGGTTGGTAAAGGACTACTGGGTCAGTAAGCTCCCAATGGTTAAGTGTCACATTTGGGGTACCAGTCTTATACAGCGAATAGGGCTCAAAAGCTACTTTTTAAATGGACATTTTTGGTGTCGTCTTATACGCCCCGTCGCCTTGTAGGCCGAGATATACGGTATTCATTCTTCTTGTGTTTTACTTCCCCCTCTCCTGGCTAGAAGAGTTTGCTATAACAAAAAATTAATTTTTATTCCCCAATTTTACTTAATACAGGTTGACAATCCCTTATCCGAAATCCTTGGGACCAGATGCATTTCGGTTTTTTGAATTTTTCGGATTTCAGAATTTTTACAGGGATCAGCCCACCCGGGCACAGCAGGTCACTGACTCACATTGGGGCCTGGGGGCTAAAATATAATAATAATAATAATAATAATAATAATAATAATAATAATAATAATAATAATAATAATAATAATAATAATAATAATATTTCATAGGTCTAGGTCATGTTTCTCACTTTTGATCTTTTTTTCATTCTTGTATTTCTTTATTATTGTTATTATTTCATTATTACAGTATTTTTGTTTTTATGATTATTATTATTGTTATCATTCTTATTTTATTTTTGTGTATTTTTTATTAAAATTTTTATTTACTATGAATAATTATTATTATTACTGTATTATCATTGTTATTATTATTACCTGTATTATTATAATTATTATTACTATTACATTTTCACCCCCCAGGCCCCGATGTGGGTCAGTGACATGTGCCCGGGTGGGTTAATACCCCAAAAAAAAATTGCTCCACAAAAAAAATTTCGGTTTTCAGAGCTTTTCGGATAAAGGGTTGTCAACCTGTACAATAAAACAAAAATTCACAATAACGAGAATTTTCAGATAAAAAATTCATATTTTTTTTAAAATAGCAAATAGCAATACTGTACAGTACAGTGGTCCCTCGGTTAACGAACACAATTTGTTCCACAGAGTCGTTCGTTAATTGAAAATCTCGTTAACCGAATCCATTGTTTCAATGGGGTTCCAGCTCACAGAAAAGTACATACAAAGTAAAAAAAAAAAAAAATGCAATAAAGTACACTTACTTTGAGGTGTGTACGTAGAAGGTTCCTGGTTGATGATAATGAAGGGAATTAGAAGTGGGGGTGGAGAAGGGAGAAGAGAAGGGAGTGAGGATGGAGGGGAAATCACCTTTCTGGGGACCCATGCTTGATGCAGTAATTTCACAAATAAAATTTTAAGTTCACCAGGTGTAATTCATGATTATTTTATTTAAATCAACACTGCACTGCACTATATATTTTCAAAATGTTAACTAAATTTCAAAATGACCAATAATTTCAATGTAAAAATGCAAAAATATTCAAGACGCCAACAAAATGGATGTTCACTCCACTGTAAACAAAGCCCAAAAGACGCCTGGTGGGAAAGTCAAGCGGCTGATGGGCGCACAAAAAACTAGTTCCCTGTACTGCATATATTATCAATATGTTAACTTAATTTTAAAATGACTATAAAAAATGCAAAAATATTAAAGAGCACAACTTTCTTGATATTTGCTCCACTGAAAACAAATGTAAACATAGAACAGATTACTGAATTGGCAGACTAGCCCATCAGCTGATCAGCTGATGCTCACAACAAAACGTGTTTGTAGTAAGGATTTCGTTAATAGAAGTTTTGTTCGTTAACCGAATTGAAGATCCTCATGGAAGGTAATTCGTTAACCGAAATTTCGTTAATCGAACCGTTCGTTAACCGAGGAACCACTATACCATATTTTATGGCATATAAGACACACTTTTTTGTTTGAAAAATTGCTAAAAGTAGCACATGCTTTCAGAGAGCAGCTCAAACAACCCAACAGCAAACAATGCAAATCCCAGTGACGAATGGGATACTCTCAACACTGTTATGACAAAAACCTGCAGAGAGACCCTTGGCCAGATTAAAAGAATACACCAGGACTGGTTTGATGAAAATGACACGGCAATCAAAGTACTCATCGATTTGCTCTTACTGACTGGCAAACAAACCCTCAATCTCGAACCAAAGCGGCTGCCCAGCAGGAACTTCGCAATCTAAAGTATGACTGGCTTAAAAATAAAACATGTGAAATACAAAAAATTGCAGATCAGCACAAGATGAATGAATTTATCAATTCCATTAAAACATTTTATGGGCCAATCACTCGTGGCGCAGCCACCCTCCGCTCATCTGACGGTAACTTCATAATTTATTATTATTATTATTACAGTCGGCCCTTAACATACGCGGATTTAGCATACACGGATTTGCAAATACGCGGATTGCCCCGCCAGAGGAATATTCTGTACATTGAAGTAATTGAAGTACATTCAAATCGCACGCCATTCAACCCGCGCGCGGCACCGAACACAGGACACAGCCCGCTCCCGCAGCTTCACACACACACG